TGTACATGATCTGGTCCAGCCAGATTTGTAAGACAGGATTGGGATCATGGTGTGTGTGTAGGGGAGTGGGGTGGAGGGAAGAAGCATTACAGAACTAGAGGAAGGCTGTGTGTTTCATTGGTGCTACACTGCACCCTGACTGGCTCTTCTCTTCCTTGTGGCCCTTCTGACAGGAGGTGTCCAATTGGCTACTGATGGGCTTTGGGTTTCCACTCTGGCCTCCTGTGGAAGCTGATTTTAGAGACCGACCTCACTCTCAGCAAGGGCTTTGTTTGGGCTCAGGTCTGAACACTCTACTCTCCCCACCATTTGCGGTGCTGGCCACCATCGCTTTAACTGGTTCTGTACACCTGCCTGGGATAGGCTCTGTCCTCAGTTTGTCCTTTAGGACTTCTCTTCTGGCCATTTTCCTTTCTCTGTCCTCTGCTGTGTCTCCCTATAATTTAGAAAGCATCTGTCTTCTTTCCCCCTTCAGCTAACACGAATCAACACCGTCGTTTTATGGGTGTTGCTCTGATACCCAAGATTCCCTCCCTTTTCAGACAAACAGGATACAAAGAAAAACAGACTCAGAAAATGGAGTTAATATTATCAGACACATTTCTCCCACCAGAGGAGTGGAGTCCCAGAAGAGCGGGGATTTTGACAGATCAGAAGTTCTGTAACAGTGGAGACGCTGTTATCAGTGGAACCAGATTCCTCGGGGAAGGCAATGTTGAATTCATGACAAGGCATTTCATCTTAGCTCACACTTTATCAAGCAAATGGGGACTTAGGAGTAGCTCTTCAATGTGTGTGTCATAATAACCTACTGCTGATGGACACTGTGCATTGGGATTGAGGTCATTTGGCGATTTGTCTGTACAGCATATTAGAAGACATCCCGAGGTATACCAAGATCCAATGTTTACCCAAAGGAAGGAAATGAAATGTGACATTGTCTTCCACTAACACTGGTGCATTTGCACTCTTCCACAAGTCCCTGTAATACAGTCACCGCTGGAGAATGCAATGTGCAGTGGAGATAGTACTGAAGAATTAAGATTTACATTGTCATTAAGGCTGAAAAATGCTGACTAAATAATATTATCTATTGCAGAAACCCTTTATTTTTCAATTTCCAGATATCCAAAATAGGCCTCGTGTCTTCATGCACTTCCTGAGGTGGTGACATCAAAGGTCTATGACAATGCCAGGGTGTCACAAACGTTAGTACTGACACACAGAGCTCCTATGTATTGGGAGGATAATGTCAGTTTGGGAGGTGGCATTAATAATGAATCAGGAGACCTAGAGGCATAGTAACAGTGGCATCATGACTCCTTGGCCCGCTAACAGCAAGGTCCGAGTTCAAAGCCACCAGCCACTCAGTGGGAGAAAGACGAGGCTTTCTACTCCCATAAAGAGTTACAGTCTCAGAAACTGTCATGGCATGAGGCCTGGTGGTGGTGTTGGGTAAGCAATGGACTATGTTGGTTGTGTTCAAACCCACTGGGTAAGCGGTTCTCAACCTGTGGGTGTGACCCTTTTGGGGGTCGAATGACCCTTTCACAGGGGGCACCCGATTCATAACAGTAACAAAATGGCAGTGATGAAGTAGCAACAAAAATAATTTTATGGTTGGGAGGCGGTCACCACAACATGAGGAACTGTATGAAAGGGTCGTGGCATTAGGAAGGTTGACAACCACGGCACTACGTGCTCCGAGAGAGCATAAATCTCTTCCCATAAATATTTACAGCCTCAGTAGGAGGGAGTTCTACTCCCTATGGGTGGGACTTGGTTTGATGCAAGTGGATGGGTGGGAATGATAGAGCCCTGAAATACTTAAGAAAAGGAACATTCTACAAAGCACAGAAAAACTGAAGGTCAGCCTGAAGGCAAGCAGGGGCCAGGATGCTTCGAGAATATTTATTTTTTTACAAAGCTGGTCCCCAGAAGCAGTCAAGAATCACTCTAAGACCAAGGTGGGAATGTAAGTGGGCGGAAAAACTAGATTATTAGAAGTGAAATAGAAATAAAGAGGATATTCACACCTAGTGAGAAATATAACCAACGTAACTGAACAAGGTGCTGAAATTGTGGAATGGGAAACTATTGCTGTGTAAACCTTGACAGAAAACCCAGTACAATGGTCCTGATTTTCTGCCGTAAACATCCAAGGTAGCTGTTCTGCAAACTTCACCATTTTTTGGTGACAGTGGAAACTGTTAGGATAGCAAATAATCACGGTTCTAAGAAAAATACAGACCACTTCAGGCGGTGCTAAAGACTCAGGCCATCATGGTGGCTACACATTTTACTTCCGGTGCCATTCTTGCATGCCACCTATGCTCAGATTGTAGAGAAAGCTTTTTCTCAGGGTTAAAACTTATCCTTTCTAATACTCAAGCTGGGTATTAGAGGAACTGAGCTGACATACCGTAAATACTCATGTAGAAGCCGAGCTTTCCAGCACATTTTAAATGCAGTTTTTGCAGTAAAACTGGGTGCCTCGGCTGATATTTGGGTCGGCTGATATTCAAGTATGTATGGTAATTACAGAGGAGATGAACACCACTTACCTGAAACTCCAGCCCATAGTTCTCTCTGCAGAATTCTCTCAGTTTGGGGTACACATTTTCTTTCAGCGCCTGTCTTTCTGCTCCCGTGTCTACAGCAGAAAAGCAAACACACAAAAAATGAGCGTGTCCACAAATGTATTTCTAGAAACATATTGACAGTATTTTAAAAAGAAACCTTAACAATATGCATTATTATAATCCAATCTGGTGCTGAATTGTTGTACAGCAAGACATCTGGGGGTTAGGGTAGACCTACGTTTAACTCCACAAAGACCGCCAAGAGGGCCACACTACGTCCCCAGAGGGCGGGGGAGAGCCAAGGGTTAGTCTTGTGCGAGGAACCGCCGTTCATGTTTCATGCCCATGTAAACCATCCTTAAGCTCGGAACTTGTTGTGGTTAGGTGTTGTCTAGTCAGTTCCGACTCTATGCCCAACAGCCCACTAGCCATAACAGTTGGTCTTTGGACTATGAGAGGGTACCCGCCCCTCCCGCAATGGACAAAAAGCTCAGTTGGGTGGTGCTTTTGCAGCATGCATTTTTCCTGTGAGGCAAGCATCAAGCAATTTGCTCTGAGTTAGTCTACCCGGTGACGTCACCTGGCAAGGTTCTCTTGGGTCACAGTGAATTTTTTCTTGAAAGCAGTTTCACTCAAACTTTGTGTTTTGTGATGTCCAATTTAAGAGAACAGCGTGCCCCTATGAAATGTTGTTTCCTGCCTGGGAAAAGTGCCGCAAAACAGCTGTGATGTTGAGCACAGCTTACAAGGACAGCGCTATGAGAAAAACTCAAGTGTACCAGTGGCTTTCTCATTTCAAAAAGGTGAAATGTGGATTCACGAGAAACCTCATGGACGTCCATCAACTTCCCAAACCTTCGAAAATGTCAACTTGTAGTGCATTTGGAGTTCATTCCGCCAAGTCCGACTGTTAATCAAGCTTTCTGCGCAGAGGCTCTGAAAACGCTGCGTCCCAGTCTGAACTGTGGCAGATGCAGGACGGGCTTTGCCCCCGTGGCGATGCTCCTGCTCACACGGCATCTCAGTGCACCCGCTTTTGACAAAAACCAGAATGCCTCGCTTGCCCTACACACCCGACCTCGCTCAGTGCGACTCCTTGTTGTTTCCCTGAATGCAGAGGGACACGAAAGGACAGCAATTTGATGACACAGAAGAGGTGAAGAAAAAAAAAAATGAGGGAGGTGCTGTCAGCTATCCAAACAGATAAGTTTGGAAAATATTTCCAAGCATGGAACCATAGATTTGACAATTGTATTAAGTATAATGAACAGTACTTTGAAGGTGATAAGGTTGTTTTGTAAACAAAAAAAAAAAATTTTAAATACATAGCTTTGGGAAAAAAGTGTTTTTATTTTTGGGGGGTGGGTACCAAAATTAGCTGGAACGGAACATTAGAGTCCCTTCATGATAGAAATGGTTAAATCACTTGGCTGCTAGCTTACAGGCTGGAGGTTCAGGGCCATTCAGAGGCACCTTGGCAGAAAACCTGATGGAGCACAGTCCCAGTCAGACCCACCCGGGGTCAGGATGACTCAGAACCAACTCAAGGACAATTGGTTAAATCCAGTGCTTTGGCTTCCTGAAGTGTAAATGTTTCTTACACACATTCTCAAAAACCACCCAGACTATATAGAGGTTTGCTATCATATTCATACATAACGCGGCTTTAAAAAAAGCTAGCAAAGCAGACATACAAATAGCACAAACCCTAGAAGAGTCAAGTTGAAGGGCAAGCACAAAACTGACTGATTCTAAGCTCTGTAGATTGAACTGTTGAGCGGATTAATAGAGCAGCATCTCCCACCTGGGCTTCAGGGCCTTACTGATGTATCACAGAAGGCACTTGTTTTATATGTACTAGACCATGTAAAAGCTTAGAAATGAAGTATTTGTATTGTTCTGTGTCATTAAAATAACCACGGACCAAGACAGCAAACAGAAGCAGCAGAATCTGGAGCCAGAAGAATAGCAGAGAAGGGTTGTATGTATTTCATTGCAAGGGTTTCCCAAAGACAGGGATTCTAGAGGCAGCTGGGCTGAACAATAGTCCTGTCTTCATGCTATCACTGAAAGACCTTGCAGCAGAGTCTGTTCTACGCCCAGCTAACTGCAGTGATGAGATGAGAAACATCGTTTCAGAAAATTAGAAATGTTTGCTCAGAAATAGTGCCATTTGCTAAATGTACCGCCACCCCAGCCATAACTATGAAACATTTGCATACCACACTTATAACGAAGGAGGAGCCACTGGGAAAGGAGTTCCTTAGGGTTCTCCAGCACATCTGTCCATGAAAATTCAACCACATGCTGTGCTGACCTACTCTGATGCAAATAACCCATCTTGAGACCCTGAAATGCACTGCGGCTTGGATGAGGAACAAGAACCAGTGTTGGCGCTGAGACCAACCCTTCTGTGGAATGCAACTCCGTCTAGATTACCCTGTGATAAAAATGGATGGGTTTTTTTCTCACCTGAGATCCAATCTGTACCTGAGCCAAAGGGAGAAATAGGGAGAACCACGCCGAGGAGCGGAATGCTTCAACAGGGCCCAGGGAACCCTGTGAAACTCACGGAGGCTGCGTGATAAGCGTTGTTTACCACATTTTAAAATTGTGAATTAGGAGGGGATTCACATTTCAAATCATTGATATTTTTTATTCAACAGTTTAAGCCACTTCTCTTTCTCCCAACAGCTTGGCCCATTCCTCTCCTTGATTCCTCTTTGCCCACTTGGGGCTTACCATCTTCTGCTACTCAGAATGTTCTCTCTACTCCCTAGTTCAATCATGGAACACAAACAAACAAAACCCACGGCCACTGAGCCAATTCCAACCACAGCAACCCTCTACAATAGGGTAGAACTGCTTCCGACTGTTTCTGAGACTGTAAATCTTAAGGAGAACATAAAGCCTCATCCTTCCTTATTGAAGCTCTTGGTGGATTAGAACTGCTGATCTTTAGGTTAGTAGCCCAAAGTGTAGCCCATTATACCACGAGGGCTCCTAATGGCAAAACGTATCCCCAAATATAAAACTTTACAGTTATAAGATGTGGGTATACTTTTAAATTATTATATACAAGGGAGTGATAGATGGATCCTAAGCATTCGATGGACACATCATCACATTGCATGGGAGATGGGATTAAATAGTTACCTGACCTGAGAAACAGACGCCTGTCTTTGTCCTGGGGCTTGCCTTATAGTAATGGTCTCATACAATATTTGTCCTTTTGTGATACTCAGCATAACATTCTTCAGGTCCCTCCAGGTCTTGAGATGCTTCATAGTTTTATCAATGTATTGTTTTTAAGTATGCCATTGTATATATGTGCCAATGTTTCTTTAGTCATTTTCTACTGGTGGGCTTTTAGACTGTTTCCCACTTACTGCTATTGTGAACAGTTATGCTATGGACATGATAGTGCATATCACGTTACATTTCTTATTTCTTTAAGGTATACACCCAGCAGAAGTGTTGCTGGATTATAATAATTGAGTTGTTTTATGCAATGCCATATCACATTCCACAATAGTTATACATGTCCACAGGCCCACTAGCAGTGTATGAGAGTTCCAATACTTCCGTATCCTCTTCGGCATCTGTTGTTTTAGCATGATGAGCATTTATGTAACATAATCTTAGGATCAAAAACTCATCCTCTTGCCCCGTTTAAAAGGCCCAAAACACTAACTTTACAATAAAGCGGATAATATTGAATCAGTCTCTCTAAAAAGCTACTGCAGATTTTTACAACCCAAATTTTAGAAATGCATTTCCAAAATAAGTACACTAGATATAGATTGGGGAATATTCTAAACAAGGAGTATTGTTAAGAGCTTCTAAAAATAGTATTAAGATAACTGATGAAAACAACTATGGAATTATAGCTGAAGTAGAAACTATGTATTTCTAAAACATAT